TTATAGAGGAGCTGTTGATGATTTTGATAAAATTACCAAGATTTCACAGGTTGTTTGTGCTTTGTGTAATTTAAACTTAATTAAACATCCTATTCGTAAATAGAGAACATGAAAAAATAGTTAGTTTATTAATCAAATATCTGATAATAAAGCTGTTCTGGTGTACTCTAAGGTTAATTTTCTATATAAGAGATGATATAGACTAAAAGATCAGCTGCAAAGTACTTTAAAGAAAGATCTATAGAACAAGTATTTGTAAATCTTTGTTTCCAATAGGATATAGATCCCAAACAACAATAGTTTTTTAGCATAACATATATACTGTAAATGGTAAAAAAATTACCTTTTTATAATATTGGAATGAAGCTATATGAGCAAAAAAGAAGTTGGGGCCTCCTATGGCGGAGCACGCCCATATGTACTATTTGTTCTGAACTATACTTTTATTACTTAACGTGATATATGAGAGAAGATTAAGATTTTTATTTTTTAGATTATAATGAGTCATAATGAAAATACTGATCATGATGCTACTAGTGGTGAATATCGTTTTCAAGCAATTGATAAAAAGTTCGAAAGCATCGATGGAAAACAAAATCGAGATTGTTTGATTAAATGGTAAAAAGTTTTTGTATTTTTAATATGTATATATGATAATTTTGTAGGGGTATGCGTGGAAAATTACGAGCAAATATGTATATATTTGATCAACCATTTCAGGAATATAATGCTCGAAAATTTATTTTAGTAAATATTATTATTATATCTAATATTTTATATCTATATCTATATATATATTATAGGAATTTTTTAAAGATCCTAATGTTCTTAGTACACTGAAAATGTTTACAAAATCAGGTGAATGGCAATTACTTGGTCAATCAGTACATGATGTTCGTATTGAACAATTAAATACAAATATTCTTTCATTAGATTTTTTTGATCGTTTACTTGATAATAAAGTTGTACGTGAAAATGGAGGATATATAAGAAAATGTATTGAAGAATATAAAGATGAATTTATTATTTCGGATGAACTTCGAAAAGTAAAGTTATATTATAATAATTCAATAAATTCGTAAATTTATTTAAAGGTTTTAATTATGGATGAATTCGAAAATTATGATATGTTTTCCGAAAATGATCGAAAAGAATTTATCTTCCAGTAGGTGATTAATTTAGATTTTGTTTGTGATATGTATTTTTTTTTTCGTTATAGTTTATTTAAACATTTTTGTCTTGGTGGACAAGTGTGTCGTAAGTTATTTGATAATTTGAATATCGAAACGATAAACATGAGGAAAGTTAAGCACGCACAAAAAAAAGAAATAAAGGTAAAAATGACGTCTATTGAAAGTTCAATGAATGTATATGGATGTGAGTTCAACCTTGTCTCCTGCATTGGTACGATTTTTCGCACTCTAATCAGCGCCTTTTTATATGCAGACTCTGACCACAGCTAATCGACATGTGGTAGATACTTTTACAGTCATAGGACAGTTTTTCAAACTTTTACTTTATATGAAAAAGTATACTATTTAGTTTCTGCCATAAATAGCAATAAGAAAAAAAGAAATACTCTCAAATTTCACAAAAAGACAAGTGATTCAGAATTCATTTGGTGTCTTTCTGCTTCTGAAATCCAATCAATTTCGTTAAGTAGACATTTACTTGTTATCGATGACGCTGAAATGGAACAGTGTTAGTATCAGACGTCATAATTGTGCATATATACATGAGTACTTTTTTCATCATGATAATACATGTTCACTTTTTTGATAGTTCATTTTCCTCTCCATATATTTAATTACTTTATCATATGGTTCCTTATCATTTAACTATAATACATTACCTCAATCATGATCGAACAGGTTTTCATTTCTATGCTTTTATATATACAACAGTTTGAAAAAGTACAATCTATTTTGAAACTTCAAGATCTCATATATGATCGGATCGGATTCGGACCTGAAAATTTTGGATCCTTTGGGCTTTATTGTGGATGTTCGTCTTCTCTTCATTTTCATTCACATCGCTTACCGTAGTTTTTTGTGTGTGTTTAACTTTTCAGAGCTGAAAGTTCTCATGTTTATCGTTCGTCAATTCAAATATTCTATACACGTTTTTTTTTCTATTGATAGAATATGAAGATGAGATTCAACCATATCTTGATGTAACGAAATCTGTTTATAAAGAATTAGTTAGCGTACAAAAAGATGCTGAAAGTCAAAAAATTCAAGTCATTTCACCTGTTTTTAAAATTGAAGCATTGGTAAGTATTTCAAAAGAATATCAATAGGAGAAAAATTTTGGTTATTTAACAAAAATTTCAAGATTCAATCATTGATCATTAAACATTGATGTTATTATATTTTTAGAATGAAAATGGAAAAAAATTCTATCCTTCACGTACAGCATATGAACAAGATTTTGTTTATATAATCATTGATCCAATCAAACGACATGTTATTATATTATCAAATTTTTATGAAGGACCTTCATTTTTTGAATAAAAAAAAAAAATAATTAGTTTGTTTGTTTTTTGTTTTCTGTAAAACTTTTATCCGTCCACACATTTTATTGTTTTTGTTTCTCAATAAATGAATGAATTTGTTTAAGTAATGCTTTTGGTCTTTGAGGAAATGTATCAAAATCACAAGCATGTAAAAATGCGGTAGTATGTAACATATTTTGTATTAATTTATCAATCATCCATAAATCAAATTTTGTCTGTTCATTATTATTTTCTTTTAATCGTCGTTGAGCAATTATATATAGAAGTTTATAAAGTGAAGGAAAATTCATTCCTTCATTTGCTTGAAGTATTAATTGACAATGTTCATACCAAGTATCACTCATTATTGAACGACAATCTTCAATACGATGTTCAATATCATCAAGTATTAAACATAAATGTTTCCAAATACGAAAAATATTAAATGCATTAAACCAATTATGATTAATTGATATTGTATAACCAATATTTGTTACATCATGATACCATTCCGATGGTACAAATAATATATCACCAGGTTGTTGTATAAACTCAATTGAATATGGTTTAGAAAAACGCCATCGTTTTTGACCACAAATATTAGCTGACCAAGAATATGTACCAAGAACATCCATATGTACTGGTGTATTTGTTCCATTACCACCCATATAAACAAAACGAAAATCATCTTCATTTTCTGCAAGACATTTTTCATTAAGCCAATCAGATTGAAAATAAATTGGAATTGTATAAAATAATGATTTTGTTTCATCAGACATTTTTTGTAAATGCCAATCTTTACAATAATATTCTGATGCTGTTTCATTATTACGCCATAAATTAACAAATTCATCAAAACGCATAGTTAATTTATTTTCATCTGTATTATATTCAGTTATATTTAATGAACATTTTGTAACAGGTACAGTCATATGACCATATAAATTTATCAATCGATCAAAATCAGGTTCTGTTCGATCTTTATTTAACCATTCTGTAATACATGACCATTGATTCATGAGACCACATTTAGCTGTAAAAAGTGCTGGTCGATTTTTAAGTAAACATTCTCGAATAAATGTTTCATAAGTTGGTAGTTCATTATATTGAACAAGACTATTTTCATTATCATTGATATTTGTTGTCCAATCTTTTAAAATAAGTTCATTATATATATCAGTCTTATTGTTATTCATCTCGAAACAAAAGACAATTATTGCACATCATCAATACAAAATTGAAGAAAAAAAAGAGATTGCACACACACACACACACAGACACACGAATAATATATACAATAAAAAGAAAAGAAAAGATGTGAGAAATGGAAGTCAAAGTTTTTTTTTAATTTATTTATTCACTCTCATCCCATCGTGATGATTCATCATCATTCTCAGATTCTGATTGTGGACGGATTTTATCACGACGATATTTTGCTGCTTGTTCCATGATTGCCATAACATTAATTGATGTTGTTTTAGTTGTTACTGAAGCTTTTTTTTCTTCTTCTTTCTTACGATTATTCAATTGAATACCTAAATATGAGAAATATGATTTGATTCAAAAAACCAAAAATTCATTTTTTATTTTATTACCTTTTTTGATTTCTTCTAATAAATCAGAATGAAGATCACGACTAATATATGGTCGTTGATCTTGAATAGAAGTTTCCGATGTCACAGAAACATCATCTCTTTGAGATGATGATAAATTATTACTATTGATACTACTTTTAATTTTTTTTGGTTCACTCGACACCGAAGTTTGTATAATAATTGAGTGAATTGTAGGATTTGGTAGAGGTGGTGCCGGTGGAATATTTGATCGCATTGGAGGTGGTGGTGGTGGAGGAGGAGGCGGAGGTGGTGATGGTGATCGTTCAATAAAATCGGCTGGTGGTGGAGGTAAACTATCAATTTCAGAAATTGTTGCTAGTGTAGCCATACCCATAGTGTGCTAAAGAAACCAAATTTTAATTAAAATTGTTTTACAAAAATAAAATAATGTATACCGGTAGAGGAGGTGCTGGTGGCAAAGGAGGTGGTGGTGGTGGTGGTGGAGGACTAGCTGATGGTCTAGTAATTGCCTGTTTCATCATCATATGATGTGGCATATGATTATTTGGTTCGAATTCAGATAATAATGGTGGAGCTTGTCGAGTAATAGCTGATGAATGAATATTAAGTCGAGGTGATTGTTCTGTATTATATCTATTTGGTGCATTAGATAATAATTCTGGTGTAGTTTTATTAAAGTTCATTATCATTATTTGTTGTTCACGAGTTGATGAAGATGCCGATAATATTGGACTACCACATTGCATTAAATCTGAACGATGATGTAGATCATTATTATTTGGATACTGAAGAAGTTGACGAGAATTTGATGATGAATAGATTTGTTGTTGTTGTAATTGAACAGTACTACGTGCAATTTGATCAAAATCATTTCGATGACGAATTAAATCTTGAGAACTACGATATTGATAATGTTGTTCATCAGATGTTTGACGAACAAGACGAGATTGTGAAGATGATGTTGGATTTGATGCATAGATAGATTCTTGTTGTTGATAGTCTTTCTAATAATATAAAATATGATAATCAATATATTTTTCTAAATGAATCTTACTGGTGATCGACCTCGTTCATGTTTACCAGATCGATGACCATTATGAATTTGCGGAAAGTGTATCATTGATTGCATCCATAAATTAAAAAAAAATGATGGATCTGTATAAAATTTCATTGAATCACGACCATCATCCCTATTAAGAAAAAATAATTTAACTTGTTAACTAATCAATTAGAAGGTCATATAAACAAACCGATAAGGATTAAGTAAATGAAGTGCCGGTGCTGGTTCAGCTTGTTCATAGAGTAAACGAAGTGATTTTGGTATTGTTGCACGATTAACAACTTGTTGATCAATACGATTAACACTAACAAATGGTTTTCGATTACTTACTTCTTGTATAGTTACTAGAAAAAAAAATTTATTAAAAAATAAATATAATAATAATAATAATAATATTAAATAAACCTTCTTCAACATTTGAATCTAATTGTGTAACTTTAAGTTTAAGTCTTTCAATTCGACCATGTAATGCTTCTGTACGTTGAAATATATGTCCAGCATCCATTATTAATTCATCAAAAAGATCTTGTGCATGAGCACTTAATGAACTTAATTGTCGTATAACATTGGCAAATGTATGATTTGTAACACATTCTAGTTCATTTGATATTTCATTTGGTACTTGTACCTGACTTAAATATATTGGTTCAACAGTCCGTTTATTAAACGGCATTTCATCTGACAAGAAAAAGAAACAGAAGAACCTATCTCAATTATTGTACGTGATCTGTCGATATTAAGCAATGAGAGCAATACTAATCAATGTCAAATTAGAAATTCACTAATGCACTTGAGATGAAACTCATCTTTACAAGTTGATATTTGCAGAATATTAAATATATCATTGATAGAGATTATTTATTATATTAAATTGTTCTGATAAATTAAAATCATGAAGTTATTTTAAAAGCAAAGGAATTGATTTAGCGACATCTTTCATTTGTATTTATTTTCAAGTAAAATTAATCAAGCTATATTGTCATATTGTGACTGTAGTATATCACCATCATTTGTGTGGGACTCAGTTTTCGCGAAAATAAAATAAACACACAAATATACCTTCTCATTTAATACATTTCAATCACAATTTTTTTTCTGATGGTTTCACTCAAACCAGATGTCACCCATCGTTGTGCATTCAATATTGATTTGATGACTCATGCACGTATGTTCGTAGACAGCTTTTTCTATAGGTTGACCGATCGATAGCAAAAAAAGATATCATTCAAAGTCTCTATTAGTCTCCTCCAATCGTGTCACGATTTTGATTTGTTTATATCTATCCAATCTTAGGCCCCATTCACACTGAAAAAAATAAAACAAATTAAGTAATGTGATTGGTGTATTATCATTTAAGTCATCTTTTTAAGATGAATTAGTGGTTAATTCACACTTAATTCGCTTTATCTTTTTCGGTGTGAATGGGGCCTTATGCGAAGAGAATATAGTAAAGAAGATCGACCAACGTAGAATATTTAATTGAAATTAAAATTTTTATTCTATATTATAATTATGTATCGAATATTGCATACAGCTCGATTATTACCATCTTCGATTATTATTCGATTGAATTCAACAAATAAAATTCCTATACGAAATTTACCAACTATTGATGATGAAGATGATGATGATGATGATCGATCAAAGAAAATCTTATCATCTAAAGATTATATATTTGCTGATTCAAAATCATCTCGATTTAAAGAAAAAAATGCTCGTAAACAAAAGCAATGGTTTAAAGAACTTGAACAACGAAAAATTATTCCAAAAACACCATTATCATCATTTAGTAAAGAAACGAAAACAACGTCTGAAAAAATTCAAGAACAAAATTCAAATAATAAAATCATTCGGTAAATTAATAATTTTTTTGGTTATTGATAATTTATAAGCTAATCAATTGAAATTGTATAGAGATACATATGTTACACCTGATGGTATCATACATGAAGATAATTTTCAAATTAATTTTGATACAGATCTCGATGAAGATGAAGAAGAAAAAGAACCTGATGAACCAATACCTTTAGCTGTTGGTGGACGTCGATATCCAGTATGGTATTATGCAGGCAAATTAAAAGAGTTGGCATCACAAAATAAGGTGAAAATTTTATAAATTGTTCAATTTTTTAGAGAGACAAAATTTTTTTTTTCTCTCGTTTATATTCGATCTATTTAGGTTCAAGAAACACTCGATTACTTTTATAAAGAAATGATGGATAAGGAACGAATTGCTCCAAATCTTTTTTGTTATCAAGTTGTAATTGGTATTTGTGCACGAAATGGTTATTTAACACAAACATTTGATCTTTATCGAGAAGTATTTTTTTTTCATCTTATTCAACATGAATAACTATATATTTTTTGATCTAGATGAAAAATCGTGGATATTCAACAGTAGATTCTCGAAAGATGACAAAAATTTTTACATTATTAGCTACTGCTTGTTATCGTGCATCAGATAGTAAAATGGCCATTGATCGTGCTACACAATTTGTTGATGAAATGAAAGATAAAGGCATGTATGTATTTATTATGGTTAATAGCTGCACGAATCAAACATTTTTCTCATGCGCATAAAAACCTTGAGACCTATTGGCGACTTCAAGCACTTAAACCTCTTGTTTTATCACTTAATATTCTTATTCATGTACTTAAATTTTAGAGTGGTTTTTTCCAATATCTTAGTCGTTTCCTCAATGTGAATGATCGATAGCTGTCAACTATTTAACGGTGATAGTGCATAAGCAAGCACTAATAAAAAAATGAATACTATAATTGAATTTTTGGAACAATTGTCACGAATTACTGCATGAGAAAGAAATAGGCCGGGTATTCACTATAAAAATAATACTATATTATCTTACAATGAAGTTTGTAACCATCTTCACTTCTTGTGTTAATCTATCAATTGAAATCGATGTCAGCCACTGTACTGTAGTTTCTATGCATAGATACAGTCCATTCCCATCAACACGAGAGTATTTTTGGATGTTTTTTTTTTTATAGAAGAAAGCTCTTAATTCTGTTACCTAAAATAAAACTCTGAAAATCTAGTGACTTTGTGGAAAGAGGACCAAGGATGTCGCCAACATCTCTCATAATCATCTATGGTCCTTGGATACTATTATGGTATCTATCATTAAGTATATTGAAATATTGTAGGATCGGTGAATTAAAGTTAAATTATCTATTGAACCCGAATTACTTCTTAATTAGCTTTTCGACTAACTACATTTCTTAATTGGGTACTAAATTTCATAGTGAAGACTAGGTCATGATGAAAAACCATCGATTCAGTATATTAGACAATACACAAAAGCTGTTTGTTCAGAAAAATAAAATAAAAAACGAAAAAATTTAAAGTTTCGTGATAGTCAAAGCTAGAATTTGTCACTGGAAATTTCTTGTGGCTTGTAAAACTTTTCGGCTTTGTTTTCCAGTTTTACGTTTAAAATAATTTGATTCTTAATAAAAACTCATATTTTAAATAAAAAAGATTGTCTCAAGCAGAACAAGAAGAGAATCTACATAGGTGATTAGATTCAAATATTCTTCCAAGTAAGAAACATGAGGTATGGAATCTGTCTGAATTTTTCATGGCCACTACCGATTTCATCTTGAGCAGAAAGTCTCTGATTATTTTATTCTAATTGATTGTTTCAAGTATGCCCATTTGTATGATTTTCATAAATTCTGTACATGAATTGCTTGACATTTACGCATAACTCATGCAAACTTCGAAGTGTCTGTCTATGGAAAGAAAGTCATGTGATATGGATGTATCTTAAAGTCTGTGTCGGGTGGTAAATGATTTTCTCTAATATTCTAGGATTTCGTATTGAATATCGAACATTTAATGCTTTGATTGCTGCATTTGGTAAACATGGTCAAGTTAAAATGGCATTTCAATTAGCTGATGAAATGACTGAAGTTGGTTTTATACCAAATGAAGATACTTATGTATCATTATTAATTGCATGTAATTCAGAAAAAAAGACTGGTTTTAAATATGCTATAGAAGTAAATAAGAATTATATCTTGAGAAAATTATAAGATAACTTTTATGTAGATTTGGCGTCGAATGCTTGCTTTTGGTATTAAACCAACTCCATTTCATTTTGGTCTTTTACTTAATATTACATATAATTGTGGATTAGGTTCATTAAAATCGATGCATGATTTACTTTTTCCACTTCAATCTCAACAATTTCTTCTCGATGAAATTGATACTAAAGATAATGAAAAAAAAGTACATCGAGGACCGTCATTTCTCTCAGCCATAGATATATCTAATGAAGAATCTTCACATATGATTTCTAAATCAAATGATTTAATTGATACAAATGATAAAAATCAACAACAATTAGTTTCTTCTGAAATAATTGAATATCAAGATAGTTCAACATCATCATCATCATCATCAGAATTAACAACTGAATGGTGGCAAGATCCCGATGATATTCGAAAAGGACATTTATTAAAAGATCATTTAAGTCCATTTAGCAATGCAAGTATACTTAAACCAAATATGTTCTATAATGAACCGAATCTTGTTGGTCTTCGAATACCTCGTTCACCATCTGAAAGACTCATGTTATTAGGTGGTATTCCAGGTGTATTAAAACATATGCAAGAATGTAATGTTTTACCTAATAATATCATCTTTAATACATTGCTTAATGTAAATTGATTTATTTTATTAAAATAATATCAATTATAATTATTTTCAATATTTAGCTTATTCCATCATTAACTGAATATGAACAAGTACTGATTCATGTTTCGAATATCTGTCAAGTCAAACCTAATATACAATTTTATAATGCACTCATCCTTCGAAGATTACGACGACGAGCAAAACAAGAAGCATTGGTAACTATAGGTTTTTTTTGATATTTAGCTTTTTGAAGATCTGTAGAATAAAAAAAACAAACATCTTTTAGCAAGTACTTGATTTTATGCGTGAAGAATGTTTATCACCTGATGAATATACATTTTCAGCTTTGGCTAAAGGATGTGCGAACAGACATGATGCTGAACAATTGTTAAATGAAATGAAAGTAAATTTTCTTCAATATAATTAAATTTTATATTTATTCTTTAAATAAATATGTATATGTTTAGGATCTCAATTTGAAGCCTAATCAAAAAATTCTTGAAGCAATGCTTAATAATGCTTTTTATCGTACTAACTTTCCATTACTTTCATTCATTTGTGAATCATATAGAACATATAATTTAGCTGTTAATAAAGGATTTCTTGAACGAATAGAGAAATTTTTATTAGATATACGTTCAAAAATTCTAGCAATGGTATGTATAATATCTAAAATTTTGTTGCTATTATGTTCATTGTTTCATTTTCCTAGGAACATGCCAATGTAGATACTGATCAATATCGTTTACTAAGTTCATCATATGATCGTTTTCAAAAATTCTACAACAGATGGCTTCATGAAGTGCCATACTCAAAACGTTTTGATCAAAAAATATCTTTTCTTTATGATAAACCAGATTTGAAAAAATGAATAAATTTGTTTTTGTTAACGTTCTTCATAAATAAAAGATATGAACAATATTTTGTTACCATTTAGTTCTAATCATAATAAAAGTAAAAATAAACTTGTCAGTGTAGTCCAATAAGGAGTCAAATGATAGGACTCATAAACTCTGATTATTATAAGTTTATGATATATTG